TCACTGTGAGTGAAGTTGGTGCTGTGAAGTATCATATCTGCACTAACCGGCTTATTGATTGTCACTTACTCTCGACTTGTGTGGCTGCAGAAACCGAACTGCTGGACAGAGATTAAAAGAGACTGCGGTGCCAGAATACAGAGTATTTAACATGTTCTATGGCTCACTGTCAGCATGCTGCTGAAGCTCTTTAGTGCTTTAACTAGACCTCACAGGAGCGCTCAGTGACAACCTGAACAGACAGTCAAGGAGCAAAGCAATGCAGGATTCAACATGCAAAAATAAAAATGGAACAATGTCATCAGACTGGAGGCTTCAACTGAATGATTTTCACTTTACAGGAATCGGTTTTTACTTGTTTTAAGACAATTTGTTAAGAATTGTAGGTCAAGGAGAATAAAAAGCAAAACTATTTTTAAATTACTAGTTTATTTAAGCAGATTATGCTTTAATTTAATCTTTAACCTAAAGCAAAATCAGATTTCAAACTGCAAATTAATTACTGGATCAATTAATCTTGTCAATAATGATTGTAGAACAGTCTGAGAATTACTCAAGAACAACTGAAATATATTGTTGCTGTCAGACAGTAACCTGATGTCTCCTTTTATCTGTGTAACATTTCAGAACATGGAGAAAAACATCTGATTGTGTTGACCGAGTCATTCATCCAACCGGCTCCAGTTATTGGCAGAACTTTACGATGTCAGTCATTTCCTCAGACTGCAGGTTTCACAATGTGTTTTCAAAATACTCATAGTCCATTAGCCTTTCTGTATTTTATCAAATTACAACAGCAAACCCTGATGAATGAAAATAATTCAATAACAGTTTTGGGTTGATTCTATATGATCTGGTGTTATTAAAATGTTTCTGCTTCTCTCCTGTTCTCATTATGTTTTTGAATTCATGTCATTCATTGCTTCTCATATTTGTCTTCTGTACAATATTTGCTGTTCATTCTTGCATTATTTATCTGGCTTGTTGTATAACATTATTGTGAAATGGCCCTGCATACACAATATAATTTACTACTATCATTCTGAGGACTTTCATGTGGCAAACCAGGACAGAGAAATGTGAACATTGTGGCAAACATCCAGATTCATAACTTCTTGTTAGATTAGATGGTAATGGAGGCTCAAAGTGTGTTCTGTTCTTTCCTATATCAGTAAAAATGTATTTTAATGCATACATATTGGTATCATTTAAGAGCTGAAGAGATTTTTAATTAACTAGTGAGTTGTAGATTGTGATTGGTATTATGTAGAAAACGGCATATTTCTGGAGGCTAATTAATGCTAATGCTAGCAGTCTGTGTGTTGTGCGAGCTGAGAAACAGCAGGAATATCACTGAATTTACTTATAACTTGTATTTTGATCTTTTTGAAAAGGTTCTCACACAGAAGACATTATTTTGTTCTCTTTATTTGTAAAATGGATATTAAAAGTTATTGCAAAAAGCAAAGAAACCATATTGACCATAAAGAAACACTTGGTATTTTATTCTATGTTGCATGCCTTTGTGTTTTGTGTTTATGATGTAAAGCACTTTGAAATGCCTTGTAGCTGAAATGTGCTATACAAATAAAATTTGAGTTATTAATTGATATTGTTATGACATTCGGTGACTAGATAATGACTGCCGATGTGTGAAGCTTAATAAAGACACAGCATTCAGTATTTTCAGATAAAATACTGAAATCCGGTTAAAGCAATGAATACAGGTGAACACTGAAATGCTTACGTACTAAAATATATCTTATTTGTGCAGAACAGAAGTTGTAAAAGCTACTCAAATAGTTAAAAGCAAATTCATATGTATTATTTTTATAGCTAAAATAAAAAAGATTTGTGAAAAAGGGACCCGGTGTTTGAGTTATTGCACTAGTCAAACACAAATATGGTTTAGAGAAATAAAAGCTGTGTGTGAACAGGTTTTGTCATTTGATAGAATTTATGAAGTTTAGTGGAGGATGTTAAAATAATAATCGTTTGGTTTAAAGGGATATTATATCCATTTCTGATGTACTGAATCTCATTCATCCAGAAAAGCTCCAGCCATTGGAGCTGCTTAATAAGACCAGAGGTATAGAGTATGTTCAATATGCAGAATAATGGATCCTCCTGTTAGATGCTGCGTGAGTTTCATCTTTCCTGTATCACAGCATCACTCTTTGAGAAAACAAAACTACCTTCAGTCCATCCAGGGTTGCCAGGTAACATATGCAGTATGTTACGGCTCCAGAGGTTTGATACAAAATATTCAACAAACACCAAGAATAACAAGAAATAGACCAGAAAGCACCAGACAAGGCTCAGGTGGGAGAACAGATTCTGCTGGACTTTAGTTTGGATTATCACCTAAAAATTCTGAATACATATCATACTTTCTATATTTTTATTTAAAAAAAAATTAAAAAGAAAATAGGGGGAACTTTCTGTTGGTCTGTTACATAAAATGATGTTTGTAAAATAGAGCAAGAAGTCGCAAACCTGGTAGAAATAATTTCATACCTGACAAGCATACAGTCTTTATGATCTTTAAAAGCAAATCATAACTTCTTAAAGAATAAAAGAATAAATAACATATATGATTGTCGTTTGTTCTATTTAAGGTGTGGATTGCATTGATTTTGTAACAATGCCACATTTCTGCTTCATGGCCAGATCTCATTCATCCAGATTTCTGGTGTTCAGTGATTAGATTTGTTCAGCAGCATCAATATTTCATCTTCTTTAGTGGATCTGTATGTGAGAATATTGCCTTGGTCCTGAAACATCTTTTTATTAAAACCATGATGTTTTTCTTGCTGAAACTAATCCCACTATAATGAACAATGATGTCAACCGAACCTTGAAGCTTCTGAAGAGTTGGGATGATTCCTCTGCAGCGCGGTGAGTCACTCTGATCAAACTAATACGGTCAAGTGCATGGAGGCGATTAGACAAACTTTGTACATTTGTGATGCTGAAGGGCTTTTCTTTGTCAGCGTGCAGCATATATCTAACCTGGCAGAATAAACAGAACCTCAGGGAATGTGACTCACAATCACCTCTGCAGAAAAGAACAAAGAAAGATATGCCTCTGCCGCACCGCTCCTGTAATTGTTTCTGCCATCCTGTGCTGACGCTCAGGGGGTCTGACCAGAGTGAATCATCTTATTCGTGACTGATGTGAGTCCTGAAGACTAAGCCATGTGGATAGCTTCTAATAAATATGCCGTACTCCCTCAAAACCCCAAATTCTGATGGTTGGAAGAGAGCTTTGAAGTTGGAGTTCACCTCCCAGCCCATCATCGCTTCACGTCTCCTCGTTCTGCTGCGTTCTTATTAGGAAGCAGAGCAGACTTCAGGCACATTTAACGTTTCTCTGCGTGAAACAAAGAAAAAGATCAAAATCTCGTCTGCATGTGTGTGTTCGTGCGTTAATCTTAGTGTTGCTGTGATGCCTTGTTAGCAAGAATACAGACTTTCCAAACTGTGTCAGTTTTCTGCTTGTCAGGTCTCTGACCCAGAAAGGAGAGAGGGAAGTTTTTGGGTCAGCAGTTTTTCCCACCTCAGCCACACACACACACAACACACACACACACACACACACACACAACACCACACACACACACACACACACACAAACCCCCCCCCCCCCCCACACACACACACACACACACACACTGACAGGAGACTGCATTTGACTGGCAGCTAAAGCGAGAAGGTCAGTTTAAGAGTGGATGAAATATTCATGTGTCTGAGGATCTGGACAGGTTCTGCTGCTGCCTGCGCTCATTCGTCTCAGTCAGGCCGGTCGGACCCTGAGGAACTCCACGCCTCGCCGTGGGCGGGATGCGCTGGGCGGGACGCGCTGGGCGGGACCGGCAGCTGGACTCCTCTCTCATGTCCTGCTGTAATACTTTGTGTCAGGCTGCTGGCCACCTGAGCCAGAAAACAAGCCTTGATTGATTCTTCCTGCCAGCTGCTGTTCTGGCTGAGTTCTGGCCATCAACACCCACTGAGTCGGCGCCGCTGAAGATCTCTGCTTTATCTCTGCTTCACTTAGTGCATTTCATTATTCATAATGGATGGTATTAAACAGATATGTCTCTTTAAAAAAGACGAGACCAAAATGAAACCTTGTTCCTCAAAGTGCTGCTTGGTTATTCAGGTTCCTGTTTCAACCTCTCGTTAATTATATTAATCATTTATTTGAATGGTTCGTTTTTCATTTCAAAATAAATATACAACATAAATTTGCTGTCAACTTAAATAATGTTAATGTTGCTCCATTTGTCCTGATGTTAAGACATTAGGAGTTTCATTTGATGTTTTTAGGGAAACCCAAGCATTCACTTTAGTAAGAATATTTTGTGTTTTATTAGTTTCTCTGTTATTTTCCCTCAAATCACAGTTCTTGTCCTCTTTCTGTTTTCATTTCCCTGAGCAGTTTTAAGTCTCAGTTTTCTTCCTCTTGTTCTTCACAGTTTCTGCTTCTCTGAGTTTTGTTTTATTTATTATATTTATGTCTCAGTTTTGGATGTTTTGTTGCTCAAAACATTTTCTGCTTCAGCTCTTCTTATTTGTCTCACATGACAGTTGCTGACCACTTTCACTCCAACAGTTGAGTTTTCTAAAAAAAAAGATTATTTAGAAGATTTGGATTTTAAGTGCGTTACTTTGAGCATGGTTTGGTTTTTACCTGCTGAAACATGAAGCTTTACTAACTGAGAATTATAAACCTAAACAATAAGTTCCAACTTTTCAAATTTTGTTTTTAAAAATTATTGTTTTATTATTCCAGTAATATGAGACCAAAATTGATTTCAATTCCATAATAACTGAATTTAATCTCTCATTGGACTCTTTGGTCCAAGTCAAGCCAAGATGCAAAACGGGAGAGAGAAGGAGAGAGAGAGAAGGAGAGAGAGAAGGAGAGAGAGAGAAGGAGAGAGAGAAAAGAGAGAGAAGAGAGAGAGAGAGAGAGGCGTGACGCGCAGAGTCTCCGTTACTTTCCAGTCTTTCTTCAGTCCCTCGGTTTCATCCAACACCTCAACCGTTTCCCATATTTCCTGATTTCTTCCCATCCCTTCACTCCAAGCCTCAGAAAGCAGTTCAAGGAGCTGGCAGCCAGTAACAGAGTCACAGCAGAGCAAACCGCAGGAGAAACTGAGGCTGAAGGAAAGAAGCCGCTTCAGGTCCCCGAACGGCACCGGAGACGCGCGGCGTGGCGTGCGTGATCAGGAAGCGTCGCCTGTGGGAGTTCTGGTTCCACGGATTATAAAAGTGAAGAGCCCGCAGCGCAGAGTGGTTCTGGCTTTGTCTGTTTCACTGAACGGATTGATTGTCGCTCCTCCTGAAAGCCATGAACGTTTCGCCCTCGGAGCGGAGGAAAGACATGCGGCAGCTGGCGCTGGAGGTCGGGATCCGAGTTCTGCTCTTCGGAGTTTTTGCGTGAGTAAAAACCTGCTGAGTTTTCTGCTCTGACTTCTTCCTGATCACATAGATTTTCTGTCTGATTTCAACTCTGGCATTTTGTGAACCGCAGCAGCTTCATGAAGATCCCGCAGCGCAGCAGCTGGTTAACAGGTTGCACCCAAAAAAACAAAAAAAAAACAAAGTCAGCGTTTTATTCTGAGACATGGAGCTGATGGCATTACAGGAATAATCATTTCATTAACCCTCCTGTTGTCCTCGGCTTATGTCGACCGAGGACAAGCCCTTAAAAAATATGTTTTTCAATTGCAGCTGCATACAGAAACTTTAATCTAACAGTCCTGCATCAGAACTATGGTGTGCACAACTCAGGGGGAAGTTTAGGCTCAAGCAATCCAAATGTGAACTTTACAAAAGAAATAAAAATAACCAAACCCAGGCCTCAGGTCAGACTGACCGGAAGACTAAGGAAATCACAGCTGGACAGGCAAACAGTATGGAATGGCATCACTGATCTCCGTAAACTGATATCTTTTCAAATTTCCCCCCCCTCCTGTTGCCCTCCGGTTGACATGACCGAGGACAAGCCCTTATAAAACATTTTTTTAATTGCAACTGCATACAGAAACTTGAAATCTAACAGTCCTGAATCAGACCTACAGTGTTCACAACAGATGGAATTTTCTGCTGCAGCAACTCAAATGTGAACTTGACGAAAAAAATAAGAACAACCTCCTCTTGTCTTCGGGTCAAATGACCCGAAGACAAGAGGAGGGTTAAAGAGGTTTTGGTTTTGCTCCTATGATGCAGTGAATACAGGATTCATGTCAGAGGTTCAACCTCTGAAAATAATCAATTCTTAACATTTTACTGCCTTGAGGAATCTGCTCCGTTTTTATCACGTTTGTTTTCCGGGTTTCTGTTTTTTTGAATGATTCGTCTTAAATTTGTTTCAGTTCAATTCAATTGAACTCAGTTCAGTTCATTAGCATTGATTTTATTTAAAAAGGCTAGTTTCACTAACCCTGACATGAACTCTTCTTTCTCCTGAGTATCTTTAAATAATTGTTCAAATCCAGACTTATTTAAGTATGACAAAATAAATCCAGAGGAATTTATTCATATCAAAACATTCAATGGGAGACAAAATATATTTTTCTTGCCTTACAAACTGAAAACAAACAATGTAAAACATTTAAAATCAATAAATTAAAGACTATCATGAAGCGTATAATTCATACAGTGCTGTAGTTTACAGAGCAATGGGACAGAAGAGTCTTCACACCTGGTTTTTCTTCCTGAACGCGTCTCCAGGAGACAAATGTCCACATGTCCTGATGATCCTGGGCTGTTTTAGGAATCAGTCTAATTGAAACTCCACAGATGTCAATCTGGAGAAAACGTGATGTGCTGTGAAGCAAATCGTTTCTAAACTTTTCTAGACTTGGGATGAGTTATTAATTATTAATCGTTGGTGCAAATAAAAAGATAACCACATGTTAGGGCTGCTGCCTTGCAGCAAGGAGGTCATGGGTTCCAATCCCAGTCAGTCTGGATGTTGTCTCTGTGCTTACATTTATTCTCTGTAGGGAATATGGCTTCCTCCCTTGGTCCAGAAACTCACATACTGTGCATTCAACCAGTGTGTGAGTGAGCATCAGCATAGCTTCATTTTTCCTTTACTGCTCCTTCATGGACTTGCAATTTGTCCTCAGTCCCTCCCTCCTGTTTATCGATGCCTGGAAACAGCCAGCAGTCCCTCTGCTATGATTAAAGAAAAGGATGGCAGTGGGTGGAAAATCATTTGTCTAAGAGAACCAATGGCTTTACAGCAAGCCCATCTCCCAATTAAGCATGTGGAGACAGTAGAGAGAAATGCCTGTCAGAAGACATATGAGGAAAACATACTTTTTCATACAAAAAAAGTTGTTCAAAGTTGCAGAATGCAGCTGTTCTGCTTGCATCGCTCTTCTACATGATCATTAATACGCAGCATTAGCTAATTGTAGTGTCATGTCAAGCAGCCCAGAAGAGTCTCTTGGTGAACATTCAGCGTGTGAAACAGATTCAGCTCCAAAGGATTCAGTGAGGATCCCGGGTTTAGCTTTTTGTTTGTGTGTCTGAGCCGGTGAGATTTACAATTAATGGAGCTTTTTTTTGTTTTATGGATCTGTACTCAGGGTCACATGAAAAGTATTTTTTCACTGGCTCAATCACAAACACAGAGATGCATCCTGCCACAAAAGCTCCAGTCACAATGACCTTGATTAGAGTAACCAAGAGATTAGATTTTTCTACAGAGAAAGCAAATGCAGGCTTATCTGCTTCTTCTCTTTATGATCATATAAATATGTGACATTTTATACAACTATGCCACATAAAACATATCTTGCATGTTTTTCTTTATTTATATTTAATTTATGTGTTTGGAGTTTCTTTCGGCCAGCAGCGATTGAAGCTGCAGCCTCTCAGATGTGAGGCTGACATTGTGGATGTGAGAAGTGGCACACTGCATTCTTGACTCTTGTCAAAAACTGTTGTACATGCAGGTTAATTGGGGTCAGCTGGGGTCATTTTCTTTAGAACGACTGAAAGCTCAGGATTTAAGACCCACAGCTGCCATGTAGTTCATCGTAGTTTGATGTCAAAGAGGAGAAACTACCGAGAAGCTTCATGGTTGTTTTGCTACGCCTTGAAAAAATATGTATGATCTTTGTGCACTTTGATCCCTAACTGGATTTAGGCTGTTACTTTGACTAAACCATTCACACATATGCATTTGTTTGAGCTGTATGTTTAATTCACTGAAAGACAAATTTTTAACCCGGTCTCAGGTGTAGACATGAAAATGTGTCTTAATCTTTTCATTTTTCACCTTTTAGCCACATTTCATTTGGACGGGAATGTTTTTAAGTGAGGCTTGAGACAAATTGCAGACTTGACTTCATGTGGATTTCTTTTAGCAAAAACTTTCTTCCTCTCTCATCAAAGCCAGCTTTGTGGAGTTGTAATTACATTTGACCAAATTATTTCACCTGTGTAGCTCAATTAAGCCCCATCTTTAAAACCTTTTTTCAGACGTTACCTCCTGCAGCTTTATAATTTAGGTTTTTATTAGTTTGTCACATAAACTGAAGAAAATAAGATGAAGGTTGTAAAATGAAAAATGTAAGATTCAGAGGTCATTGTTACATTTGTCTCTGCGGCTTCATTGCTTTTTATCTCCAGTGGGATTTTCATTTCAGTGTGTGACATGTGTCCTAACATATCGCTCCAATGTGTGAACATTTACCAAAACATGCTAGAAATTGAATAACTTCTCTTCTAGTTTAGCAGATCATCTTTTATTCTGAGATCTTTCTTGCTAGATGCTGTAATTTTCTCAGTGATTAACCAGACACCAGGCAGGATCTTAGTTCTGCTCAGATACAAAAAACAATGTTTTATTTCCTTTAGCAACAGTTAGCTTATGTTTAAAAGAGAGCTCTTGTTCTTACTGTGAAAAGCAGCTGGCGTGTTCTCTGGCATTGACTCCGGTGTAGTTTGTGGCATCAGGTCAACCAGAAACACATCAGACTGGAGCTGGACGCTCAGGAAGTCCTGGATCTATAGAATATCAGTCAAAAGTTGAAATGTAAATGAAAACAGATCTTTGACATTTAGCAATGTCAAAGAAAAAAAAAAAGGATTGTGAGGTTGATGCAAGACAAAACAAGATCATTTTACTTCTGTTAGCGTTTGTGTAAATGAGATCATCTATGCAGAGCTGTGTTTCTTTTCCATTTGTTTCTCACAGGTACATATTTTCACTATGTAGCCATTTCAGCCAATTTAATATAAAATCACTGCATGCTGCCTTTTATAGTCATTGGGCAGCGGTAATCAGCAGGTTGTTGTTTTAGTCCAAGAGCAGATTGAGAGAAAATAGAGCCTATAATCACTGAGGTCTGTTGTGTTTCTAAAAGCTTCTTGATTGACTGACTGGCTGGAAGGAAAACTGTTCCTTTAAGAAATGTACAAAGCAAAACAGAATTCATGTCGTGCCAACAGAAAAGCTTTGATCGGTTATTTTATATATTTTATAAAGACGGTGGTAAAGAAATGAATTTGTTGCTTGCATGTGAAATGTGATAAGATTATGTTGTCATAAGAGTGATGATTACCTCTGTGCAGATTAAGGTTATTAGCAGGTAAAATGGGTTTATTGATGTTTATTTCTGTGCATATGCTGCAGTGATGAACATTAGCGTCTGTCGTGCAGCACCAGCCCTCGGTCCAATGCGACGGAGAGCCTTTGTTCAGATTCATGAGTCTCAGTCTTTGGACTGATGGTCCACATAAAGGGGAGTGAAATTTGGATTAGCTGAGCTGCTGAAGTCATCAGAGCTTTCTGCTTAATAAAACTAAAGAAAACTGCTAATAAGGGAGGATGTCACATCATCAGCACTCGATGATGAATGTGATGGTTGGAGGGAGTACTGGCACTCTGAAAGAGTCTGATCATCCATCCTAGAGATGGGATTTCTGGCTCTTTGAAGTGACTCAGATGTTATAGATCTGTTTATTCCACACACACTAACTCATTTTTATATTTATTTCTGTATTTATAGGAAACCAGCCAGTGTGACTCATTTAATCAGGAGAATAATTAGTGGGAGGAATAATTGGGTAACAATCGGTTTAGAATCATTCAAACATAAATTTCCCGAGTTTGAATTCATCGAGAATATTGATCATGATTTCAATTAATATGTGTGGGTTACTGTCTACTGTCTGCTCTGCATCCATGCAGAAATCACTGTAAATTAAAATGACAAAAAATAAATAAGCTTAACGGAAACACAGGATGAGGTGATACGACTGTGTGCAGAAAAGTGCATCCAGATTCCACTTGATTTCCTTTGGTTCAGTGGAATCATTTTGTGTTTTAACCCACCAGACACTCACCTGACATGCAGTGTGTCCAGCTGTCTGCCTCGGGCCTCGGTGTGCCGCTGCTCATGTGACAGCAGCGTGGA